AAAAAAAAAAAGAAAAAAAGAAAAACCTAGGCTAGAAAGAGTCCAGAAACAGACTAATTAACATATACGCATTTGTATAAAATGTCTAATTTTTTTTTAAATGAAGAAAAAGATTGGTAAATTTCCCTATATCAAGTACAAATAACATAAGACACTCTATGTGAAGTTAAAAAACAAGTGATGAGCTGCAAAGATATATTACATTAAATATCTACACACACACACACATACACACACACACACACACACATACACACAATCAGTCCTCATTATTCTTCAATTCTGTATTTGCAAATTTACTTACTTGCTAAAATGTGCTTGTAACGTCAACATGAATACTCAAGGCAATTCGGAGGTCATTTGTAGACGTGGGCACCCACAGAGTAGCAAAACATTTGATTTGCATATGTATCCTAGGTGATATTGAACAAGGCATGCTCTGCTTTCTCTTTGCAGCTCTCATAGTATAAGCAAGTATCTTTTTCTGTCTATTTAATGCCATGATTTTTGCATTTTTGTGATTTTTTTATTGGTGATTTCACTGTTTTGTTTTGTTCATTTTTATTTTTTGAGATAGAGTCTTGCTCTGTCACTGAGGCTGGAGTGCAGTGGTATGATGATCTCAGCTCACTGAGATCACACCTCCATCTCCCAGGTTCAAGTGATTCCCCTGCCTCAGCCTTCCAAGTAGCTGGGACTACAGGCGCCCGCCACCATACCCAGCGAATGTGTGTGTGTGTGTATGTGTGTGTGTGTGTGTGTGTGTGTGTGTGTGTGTGTGTATGTGTGTGTTTAGTAGAGGCAGAGTTTCACTATTTGGCCAGGCTGGTCTTGAACTCGTGACTTCAGGTGATCTGCCTGCCTTGGCCTCCCAAAGTGCTGGGATTACAGGTGTAAGCCACCACACCCAGCCTGTTTTTGCTTGTTTTAGAGACATGAGTTTTAGGTTATAGTGCTGTTGGCCTTGAGTTCAGTTAATAAAGCAATAACATATTAAATAAGGTCTCTTTAAACAGAAACACATAGAAAAACAAAGCTACGTACTGATCAGTTGACAAAAATGTGACCAGAGGCTCACAGGAACGTAACCTTGTATTTCCCCTAGGAACAATAATTTATTATTTGCTCATTCAGTGTTTGCTGTGACTTTATAGAACATAACTACTGTGAATAATGAGAATCAACTGTATGTAAAACAAGGCAAGATTGATATAAGTACACCTTAAAAGATGAGAAAATGTAATTTGTTAAAAAAAGAAATACAAATGCCCAATGCACATGAAAAGATGCTCAACATTACTAATAATCAGGAGAATGCAATTAAAAAATGGTACATGCTGGCCAGGCACCATGGCTCACACCTATAATCTCAACACTTTGGAAGGTGGAGGCAGGCGAGTCACTTGAGGGCAGGAGTTCAAGACCAACCTGGTCAACATACACAAAAAATACAAAAATTAGCCAGACTTAGTGGCCCACACCTGTAGTCCCAGCTACTTGAGTAGCAGAAGTGGGAGGATCACTTAAGCCCAGGAGGTGGAGGTTGCAGTGAGCCAAGATCGGCTACTGCACTCCAGCCTGGGTGACAGATTGAGACCCTATCTCAAAAAAAAAAAAATCTTTATTAAAAAAAAGCAATTACATTATCAAAAGGCCAAAAATGTATCATATTAATAGTGAGAAGCTTGGAAACCTGTGGTGGGGGAAGCAGATACTCTCATATACTGCTGGTAAGAGTATAAATTGGCACAACCACTTTATAGAATTTTGGCAATATCTATAGATATAGATATACCCTGTAACTCAGTAATTCTACTTCTAATTATCTGCTTTAGAGAAAGAGTTGCATTGGGAGAGGACTCATAAAGGCAGACATCATGAGAACTTGCCATATTGGAAACTAAATGTCCACAGGTAGGGGAATAGATAATAAACTGTGGTATAATAGAATAATGAACTATTGATACCACAGGTAAAATGAATGAACTAGCTCTAAATGTACCATATTATCTGCTCTTTATGATAATTGGGCAGGGTATAGATCATGTTATTACTTTCATTTTACAGATGAGGAAACTGAGACTCAAAGTCACCGAATGAGTGACAGAGCCAACTCTCCCCTTCACCCTCCTTCCTCTCCTTAGCCCTGTTGCTATGAAAGGGG